GATGGATGGATGGATGGATGGATGGATGGATAGATGATAGCTAGATAGCTAGATAGCTAGATAGCTAGCTAGCTAGCTAGCTAGCTAGATAGATAGATAGATAGATAGATAGATAGATAGATAGATAGATAGATAGATAGATAGATAGATAGATAGATATAAGAGAGGGAAAGAATAAATAGAGATTAGAGAGAGATAGGTAGGTAGGTAGATAGGGATACGGATAGGGATGGGTGGGTGGATAGGTAGGTAGGTAGATTGATTATCCAGACCTCTTTTAAGCATCGCTGTGTGAAACTATCACACTCTTTTACACACACACACACACACACACAAACACAAACACACACCTGCTGATTATTTTGTTTTTACTCTGGGGGAAAATCCCACCGCATCCTTCCGCCCCCACCCCCCAAGTAAAGTTAGAAAAAAAAACCACCCTTATTTTGGAGAAGGAAAACAAAGGAGACCTTATGATCAAATACGTTCATAGTAACGTTACTAAGGATGATTTGGTGCCGCTTGTGGGGAGATGTAGAAATTGGATGCATCCATAAAATGATTTTGCTGGGGGGGGGGGGGTAGAAAAGGCAGAGAGAAAAATTCCGAGGGAGACAAAGCCAGTTCCGAGAGAGGGAATTGTTGTCTCGTGTTTTGTTTTGTTTTTTGTTTTAGTGGGGGGAAAAAATAAATGGAAGAGCAAGAAGTAAAAAGCTTTGTTTTAAAACGGCTGGCCCAGGTAAGGGACGTTAGGAAAAAGGGGGGGGCGTTTAGGGAGCTTCCTCGGGAGTAAAGCTTTAGAAATTGAGGCTCAAATATGCTTTGCTTTGGGTTTAAACCAGAGAAACCTCACATTGCTTGGTGTGCTTCTATGATACACAACTGGCTTTTTAAAAAAAATTTATATATTTATGATTAGGAATTATGGGGCAGGAAAATGGGATAAAGAGAACAAATAGACCTGAAACCTAAGATACTTTTCTTGGGCATACTTCCAGGAAATTATAATAAGGGTAACACACATATTTGGTTCTACACATTCTAAAAGCAGCTGGGATCGCATATGCACAATGCTGGAAAAACCCAGAATGATATTCTAATAATAATAATAATAATAAATCTGGAATGTGCAGAGATGGATAGAGTAACCCTAAAAATTAAAGGAAAAGAAGATTCGGACTATTTCATAACATGGGAACTATTCTATAACTGGTTAAATGACAGATATTGAGGTTAGAGGAGTGGGATTAGGTGAAAAATGGCTTACAGGAGAAAGAAAAACAGATGAGTAAATATGTTTGACGGTTATATAATCGATACTATAGTGGAAGATAATATATGCTATGATATGATTGATATTTTCGCATACTTGTTTATATATTACCGCCTATTTGATTATACATATATGATTATAATGACGATGATGATGTTTGAATGCTTGTATGGACACCTAGCACGCTGCTCAACATAGGAA